TTTTTTTTGTAAATTTTGGAGATCAGATATGGGTTCAGTGAGTATTTTTTCCCATTCTGTGGGCTGCCTTTTTGTCTTAATACCACGGAAAAAATGAGACATGTGAATAAAAAGGATAAATCATCCAAATAAAATGTTTCCAAAAAAGGAGTAAACTGGCCTATTGATATATCACATCTCCAACAGAGAGATGTCATAAATCTTCCCAAAAGTTTGTTTCCCCTGTTCTCTGTAGACATATAATGTAAATGGTCTTCTTATAGTCCAAGTTTAATTAAAAATTATTAAACTATCTTTGGAGTTGGGGCATGGCTATCTCTTTCTCTAAATCCAAGCATGCCTGGTAAAGAAAAATCCAAAATCTCCATATCCTATCAAAAGAGGTACCTGATATAGGACAGAAGAGAAACCAAAATTAAAGACTATTCTATTGCCCCTATCTCATAATTCTTTGCTTTTATTTTGACTCTTTAAATTTTTTCTTAAAGTATAAACATTAGTTCAAAACTTAAAAGATTGGGATTTTATATATATATATATATATATATATATATAGTTTATGAAAATGCTAACTCACAATGCAAAAGAATAATTAGATCTTTAAAAGCAAGGTCAGCACCCACAGATAAATGGATTTAAAATACACTCAATATTGAATGTTATAACCATGATTATAATTGAATATATCCTAAAAATACCATCACCCCCACACAACATGAAGTAAATTTAAGAGCATGACACCCACATTCCCAGCATGTGCAGGGTCAGTTTTGGGTTGTTCATTGGGTTATGCATATTTGTAATCTTTTAGGGAGAGTTGTTTTTATTTGTAATGTTCAGGAAAATAATCTACCTTCTCATCCCAGCAAAGCCCTTTGCTGTCTGAACCTCCGTCCATGTCACTAGGAGGTACTACAAGCAGGAAAGTTCCTGGTGGTAAATAAAGGACAGTGGTCCTTGCCAATTGTCTGTATATACATGTTAATATTTCTGCAGTCCACGTTGTGAAAAGCTTATACATGTGAACCATAATTTAAAATATATGTTGGCTCTAAAAATCAGAACAATACCAGCTCACCAAATATGTGATGGCAGGCATCTGTTATTCCTACACTCCAACTGATTCTGTCCATGACTTTCAACCTTTCCTTTGGCTCTGCTGAGCAAACTTGAATTATTAGAGGCCTGTGAAGCAAGTGCATCTCTGCTGACCATCTCACAGACTCAGGAAGTGATGTGTGTTGGCAGGAAGAAAACACACATTTTTCTGACTGCAAGATGGAGTCTAAACTCCTGGCTTACTGATGGCAATAAACGATCTCTCCACCCATATAGGAGGTGGTTATCCAAATAACCCATGTCTCTCTTCATTCATAAATTCTTCTTATTACAAGTTTCTTCCAAAGTCCTTGAGGGAATGCAGCCATTATTGAGAACATGAAACAAAGGGCATCATTTCAGGACTTGGATCCAACTATACCCTAAGCCAGATGGAGTCTATGAGTTTTCACTTCAGATCCCAATTATCCCTAGCTTGTTTGCTTTATCCTCTTAAACCAATGGAGGTGGATTCCTCACTCTCAGACCATGGAATTCTGGCATATGCATTCACACATAATCTAACTTCTCTGCAATGGAAACATGTGGGTCTATAGTTGCACTGTAAAAATGGCCAATATCAAGATAGGAAGAATGGGTATTATTCAGTCAGTCATGCTGACTCCATAAACAAGAAACACTCCTCGATGATCCCATTTATTATCCTCTTTTTTAGTGTTTCAGAGTTTTCTGCATTGAACAATAGCCCTTTGGGAATATTGAACAAAACTATCTAGGAATCTGGCAATCAAAACATGTGATTCAATCAGTAGGATGGGGAGAAATTTATTGACCTCTCACAACACACTATCACAGAGGCTGACTCTATCCAGGAAAGACCACGAAGACATTCAGTTGCAGAGAGGGAGGCTTGGAAGCCATGGCAGAGCAACATGAAAGCCACCCTACTTACTGCATGATTGCAAGCAGCCGTGAAAATGATGAAATGCACTAGCCTATGCAAACGCTATGACCTTTTCCACCAGAACTTCTCCCATTCATCCATGCTGTGTGTTCTTCCCAGGTCACAATGAAGCCATCACTTTGTGGCAGCCTCAAGTTCCACAATTCTGGCTCTTAGTGCTGACACAAGGCCATCACCATCCATCACTGCCACTCAGCAGCTTTTGGGTTGCAGTATCTTGGCTGACACTAGGTATTTTCTTTGGAGTCTCATTAGATCATACTGAAATGAGGACTTGCTTTTCATCCTGTGACTATATATGAGGGACTGCTATCCCATCATCCAAGAGACCATGAGGAAAACAAGGATTTCATGTGCACCCTTCTTCAAACCAGTAAGTAGCTCCCTGCCACTATGTAACCCCCATAAAATTATCTTCAGGAGGATTTGGGGCAAGAAGCAGAGGGAAGGCATTGTTTGGGTTAGGGCTCTTTAGCAATTTTGAAGACATAGATGACACTGTGTCATGTTAAGATGAGCTTATGTGGATTTTGTTGACTGCTAAGATTTTATTCTTCAAATGACTTGGCTCAGTGTATGGAGAAGGGCTTCTTCCTGGAGTGTAAGCTCAATAGTGACAGTAAGCTCAGTAGTTGCTTCACTAGGGAATGTGTGACCCCCAACTTGGTGGAGCCAGTATTAGCAGACTTACCCTGGTCTTTGAGGTGGGCTATAGTTGGCTCATGCAAGGGGTGACAAGTCACTGAAGCAAGACGACAAATTTCGGTGGCAAAGCACAGAGAAAAGTTTCAAGCAGAGATGGCAGCAAGTACAAATGACCTGAGCATAGAGAGCATGGTCTGGGGTCAGCTTGGGTTTCGTGGCCCTGCCTCTCCAACCCCTGACTGTGTCTCTAAATTTTCTCTTCCTCCCAACCTTCCCTACTCATCTTCAGAGCAAGACAACTTCTTTCCTAAGTCATAATTGTAGGTAGCTCTGTTTATTATTTTTGAATTCACTATACAAAGAAGTAGGTTTGCTGTGTCATTTTCCTATACTCTTAGTCCCTGTTCCTATCCCTCTCCCTCCCCTGCTGTTCTTCCACAGCTCCACCCCTTGCTAATGGCTTCCTCCTTCCATTTAATCCATGCCATGTGTACTTTTGCTCTTCTTTCCCCCTCTTCTCTTTCCTTGTGATTTCTTCTTCTCCTCTCATGGTCTCCTTATCATATAACGTCACTAACATTCACAACATTCATCTGTATTGGTGTGGTGGTGGGTATGTGTATTGTCCAAGACATAAAATGGGATATTTTGCCTTTCTGAATCTGGTCCCTTTTGCTAGGCACAATGGCTTCCAGTTCCATCCATTTCCAGAAAATGTCATGATTTCCTTTTTCTTTATGACTAAATAAAAACCCGTTGTGCACTTGGCCTCATTTTCTTTATCCACTCCTGAGGTTTATCATCACTGAGGGTCTATTTCTTACCTGTTGTGAACAGAAGCGAATCTGTCTTTTAGGAAGGTCAAGAGTGAGAATGACAGGCATTTACTGTGGCTTCTTGTTTCCTCTTCTTACTCCTAGGAACATCTGGGAGTCAACACCAATTATGTTCCAACTTGAGAGACTTATTGTCTTGTTTTGGCTGTTCACTGGGACCTCAGGATCACCTTTGGGTAACATTGTTACTAACCATAATAATTTGGACATTCTGAATTCTGTCTCTGGAAGTGAGCCAGTAAAGTTGCTACCAGCTAACTCCTTCCAGTATCAACCCTAATAAACACTATACCTGAAATAGCAGAGGCTGCTTGGAGAGGGCACTGTTGTCCTTTATGGGTGGCTTACTGAGAAATGTGCAGTTGTTCAATTCCTGTTCCTCACTTTTACTTTTAGAAGTAAAGACTACATTGACATTCTGTCTTTATAGAGTCTGACCAATATATCATAAGATAAATTCTTCAGAATGAGATTTCAGAATTTTAAAGTTTGCATTTTAAATTATTTTAGCTGTTGACTGGTATTCCCTATGCACTTTCCCTAGAAGTCTGAGGGAGCCTGTCTCCCACACTGCTCTCCTGCTCTAACCTGAACACCTTTAACTGGTTTGCTGTTATCAGAGATGAGAGGAGTTTACTCATTTCACTTTGTATTTCTCTAACCCTAACCATCCCCCTCATTTCTCATATCTTTACTGCTGTTTTACATAATTTAACTAATGTGTTATGTCAACATTGTTAGCATATTTCCTATAGTTTGACTTTTCTTATTGGTATGTGTTGACTTGCTGGATATAAAAGTCATCAGTCCACCTGGCTTAGATATTCATAAACGAATATCATTCTGTTAACTTTACCTCTGTTCTCTGCTACAGAAGAACTGGGATAACTGACAAGGAGTTCCTATAGGAACAGAAAAGCTGCCTCCAAATCTTGTCAGTGTTTAGGCAACATTCAAAGACAAAGAAAGAAGCCATCTTCTCATTTCACATTAGGGGAAACAGTGCAGAGAGAAAGGGGTACCAGGTTCAAGGTTTGGTAAGATGGAGCTATGAAACCAATGCTAGCTAAGGTGGCCTTGTCTGCATCAATATAATAGATAGACCCTGTTGGCACAGAGACAATATGATGTCTATTCAAGTTCATTTACATATTTATAAACATTTATGTATGTATGTATATTTGTCTATGCATATGTAAGTATGTATGCATATGTGTATCAGTGTATATATTACAAACAGCCTTAATGGAAGATGTGAATCTTTTTGACAGCACTTAATGATACTCAATACAGGAAAGCAGTCCACAGAAACAAAGGCTTGTCTTCATAGCAGTATGATTAAGCAGCTAACAATCAATGATGGACTGAAACATCACTGTACAAATGGAACAAAATATTTATGATAGCATGATTCTAATCTAAAATACTTAGACCCTTAGAAATGAAACAATTTATAGACCGTAAATAAATTAGAAGGCAAAACTGTTTTACAATCATTATTTTAAAGAGTCAGTTTAAGTCATGGATTACTTTAAAAAGAAGGGCTTTTGTTGTTGCTATTGTTGTTACTTCATTCTATTTTAATCTTTGAGTGTCTTTGTATCACAGTAGAGATATTTTCTACATAAATATCATTTGTACTTGACACATGCTGTCTGGCACATGGCATTTATTTTCTGTATTTCCCAGTTACTCCCAGAGATCTTTTGTTCGGACGCTCTATACTTGTGCTCCGATGTCAATTATTGTTTTCTGGGCCAGATTACAAGCTGTCATTTTGGGACCCCTAATTCCCACTTTCACTAATTGGAGCAATATTCCCCAATATGTTTTTTCTTGGTTCTAGAGTTTTCTAGTTCTTAGTTTATTCTCTCAATTGCTTGACTACCTTTATCAGACTCACACTATAATCTCATTTCAAATAACAGATCCTCAAGCCACATCAGAAAAGCAGTATACACAATTGCATGCAGTTTTTAGGCCAATTGATAAATTGCTTTTCTTGATAACTGATCAAAATTCATACGGAGTGAACCTGGAAACAATGCATGGATTCTGACATGTGGGCACATTTCCTAACTTTAGGAATCTCAGATTCCTCTTCTTAACAATGCGGATGGTGGCAATCCTACCTCATTGAGTTGTTCTGTAGTCTGAAAGAAACAGGGCAGGGAATCTGACTTCTCTGAAACAAGGAGGATGGGAGCTCATACCTAGTTGTATGGGCTCTAATTGATGATTTTTTCCAGAATTCTCTCAGAATCTGGAGATAAATGTGAACTCCATGGAAGAAAATGAGATGTGGCCATTAATTGATGACTTCATTGTAGGAGCTTTGAACTCACCAGGCTATAGAATATTGAGCATCTCTTTACCTTGGCTTACTCCCAGAAAAGGGACTATCCACCTAGGGAGGACAGTTCAGTGTCAAAGACAGGTGGATACCTCTCATCTTCCTTCACAGAGCTAAGGAGTTCTGAGACAAGGCTCATTAGAACTTCAGTAATTGAGAAGGGCTATATACCAGTTTGGAAAATTCACACATCTGGGTTTCTACAGTCTGCAATTTCAGGAGAAATGTGTATGTTTCATTTGTCCCCATCTCCACCTGCTTCTTGATACCTAATTCCTTTCTCTGAGAATAACACTTTCCACCTTCAAATTTATCCAAAAGTAAAAGTTCAAGTTCCTTTAAGGGACATTCAGCTGGAATCCACACGCTGTTATTCCCAAGAATTGGCTTCATGGAGTTTTGTGTCACGCAGTCCTGGTTTCAAGTTATGTTTCTGCTGCCTAATGCTTCCCTTTCTCAGTCCACTGTACCTGAGACAGCAGAGGTTCATATATCTCAACAGGATGTAGTGAGGACAAAAGATTAATGAGGATAGTTGCAAACAATGCAAGGAGTAATGGCAAGAGGGTACTTGTCTGTTTTGGGTAGGATGCAAATCAATGCAGTGAGAGTTGAGGACTTGCAAGCTGAACTGTCCTCTGATGGCAACAGTGTAGAGCCGATGGTGCCCCTGGTTGTGGATGTTTCTGTAGGACTTTGGTAATATGTCACTTGGATTTAGATGGTGTAGTGACATGGCCATTATGAGTAGGAACCTAATTCCCAGGTACTGCATGATCTCTGCGATGGGAGATGCTATTCTGTAAATCTGTCTTTTATTGGTTGTTGAATTGGTTTGCACTGTTGGCAAATAGGGAAGTGAGATAGGTGGGACTGGGAGTAGAAAAGGACTCTGGGAAGAAGAAACACAGGGAGTCACGATGTAGCTGCCATAGGGGTAAGAAGTCCAGACCCTTTCTCCAGTAAGAGAAACACTTAGATTAACAATTATGGAGTAAATACTTAAGTCAGAAATAGTCAGTGAGAAATCAAGCAAACAGCCAACAGCTTCATAATTAATACAGCGTCTTGTGTGTGTAATTTGGGGACTACAACTTGGCAGAGCTCAGGCGACTGGTGCGGAAAAACCAAAGCGGCTGGCAAGAAAAAGACTTCATTCAACACCTCTGCACTTAGTTTCCTATTTTGTAAAATGTAGACCCTCTGAGGTCTAAAATACTATTCAAAAGTTATCACTGAAAACAGACTATGTTAAATCTCTTTCAAAACAATGTCCTGTGTAATTCACTTTGTGTATGTGTGTGTGTGTGTGTGTGTTGAATGTGTGCATTCATGTATATACAGAATCATATATATATTCACAATGATGGTGGAGTTCAGATTTTAGCATCAGGAATATGCCTCAATATTAAGCCACATTAATATTTGAAACATGGATTCATGCATAATCTACAATGCAAAGATTTGAATCGACTAAATAGACAAGTAAAATATAATTTTATAGCTTTTAATTTGAAAAGAGAGATAAGGAAACAAAAATCAAGAGCCTGTCTAAGAGAATTCCCAGAGATTGAGCTGCCTATTCAGAGAGAGCAAGATCCCAGTACATGTAAGATCCTAGCTTCTATTATAGGCGATGGGGGACATAGTAGTTGTATGACCCTGAACGTATAAAGCCATGAGCTGTGAAATCTTCAAGTGGCTACCTATCCTCTCTATGTTCAGGACTCTTCACTCTAAAAAGAGTGTGATTAATCTAGCTCTGTTTTAATGGATGACTGTATTAAACCAAATTCAGTACTTCCCATGTACAGAGGAAATTTGTGTCACAAATGATAGTAGTTATTTCCATTCTTAGTCTAAGGCCAAATGAAAATCTCACATGTGCTAAAAATGCATAAACCACAGAATTCTAATACAAATGCATAACTTTCTGGAGACTATTTAACAAGTTGATGTTACCCAGATAATATTGACAATGCCCTTAGACATGTTATATTGTATCCACTCAGAAGATGAATACCAGTGCAACGTACAAAGCCTTTTAGACATGTATTTAATGTGACTCTCCTTTTCTGCGGAGTTAATGATAATCGCAGGGACAACACCACCTATTTCTCGACAGTCAGATATCTATTCAGCGTTGATTTAGAGAGTCAGAACTCCCCACCCTATAAGAATATGTTGGAATGCTGAACTGAAACATTGTGGAAAATAGTGGCCTTATCAGGCAGGTAAGACTTATCCATCCTAGGAGAGCAGGGATGTCAGGAGTCTTCAGGACCCCTTACTTCAACCCTATTCCGACACCTGGGAAGCAGCATGGTGGAAAACATAATCAAACAAGCTCTTAGTGTCATTTCTGTCACAACTATCAGTTTTGTGACTCTGAAGCTTCATTTATTGAGGCCTCAGTTAGCACATCTGTGCATTGGAACAGGTTCCTTGGGAAACATCCGATTATCCGCGGAGAAGCAGTGTTTGGCAGTACACCTTCTCCATCTCCTGGCCAAGTGCGGTAACTACAGGTATTTTAACCTAAGACAAAACAAGAGGTGATTCTTCCAATTTAGGAATCACCAATTGGTGGTAAGAACATCTAATTATAACAAGCCAGGTAATTTAACACTGCAGGATTTTAGAGATTTTGTTACCAATGCCATGGATTATGCAGTAAAAGACAATTATGATATTTTTCATATGCTTGTGATTATTGTGTTAATACATGTAATCACATGGAATAACCATGTACAATTGATTCGAAAATTAGAGTCTAAAATTCAGGAACAAGGTGATTTAGTTACCAAAACAGATAATTTGGGATTTGATCAGAACAACCTTCGAGACACATTCAATTCAATGTCCACTGCATTTATGGCTAAGACAGAGTCTAGCCAGGAGAAATTTTCCAAATTAGCAGGGTCAATTTAATCTGTGTCAGGTAATAATGACTATCTAGCAGACCGAATGTGTTTTCTGGAAGGAAAAATAGATTCCTTTAGAGAAGATGTAACAATAATAACTCAGAAAACCTGGCCGGTACTTTGGCCCTCTAAAGATGTAAATGTTCAATTTCTAGGAATCGGGATTTATCTCATGTGAAACAAAGTGTCGGATGGATAGAATGTATTGGACAAGGAGGGCAGAGAGGACGTTTGAGGCCATATGTGGCAGATATTGCTATGAATCTTTGGGGTCGTGATTTATTACAGGAATGGTATACTCAAATTAACATTCCTCCTGTATCAGATATGCATCATAGACAAACTCTAGATGGTAGAAGAAATGTTGTAAGCCATTACAGAAAGCAGATACCAAACATACAGGCTGTACAAAAACAGGATGCTAATGTCAAACCTAAAGAGCAACGGAAAGCTCTGCCTCTGCTCTTAAAATGGCTAACAGATGAACCTGTCTGGGTAGGTCAATGGCCTACGACATCTGAGAAGTTAGAGGCTTTGGAGAAGTTAGTTCAGGAACAGCTAGATGCTGGACAAATTGAGGAATCAACTAGTGAATGGAATTCACCTGTTTTTGTTGTCAAGAATAAGTCTGGTAAGTGGAGAATAATTACAGATCTTAGAGCCATCAACAAGGTAATTCAGCCTATGGAATCTCTACAACCTGGGATGCCACTACCTTCTCTAGTTCCTAAGAATTGACCAATTATAGTTATAGACTTAAAAGATTGCTTCTTCACCATACTGTTACAAGAAAACAACAGAGAAAAGTTCGCCTTCAGAGTACCTACCTATAATAATTCCCAACCAGTACAGAGATTCCAATGGAAAGTACTGCCCCAAAGTATGTTAAATAGTCCAACTTTGTGGCAATATTTTGTGCATAAACCTCTAGAAATAATTCATAAAAATTTCCATATTCGTTAATGTATCATTATATGGATGATATATTACTGTCTGATTCAAATAAGGATACTTTAGAAAAGGTGTCTGAAGCAGTAAAGGAAACTCTGCCTCACTGGGGATTACAAATTGCCCCAGAAAAAATACAAAGAGGAGATTCTATTAACTATTAAGGTTATGAAATAGAAGCTCAGAAAATTATACAACACAAAGTACAGATCAGAAGATATCATTACCGGACTCTTAATGATCTTCAAAAACTATTAGGAGAAATCTCTCAATTATAGACAATTATCGGTATGGAAGGGGACGATTTAAAACACCTGAAAATGGCTTTAAAAGACCTAAACAGCCCATGAGTACTATCACCTGAGGCTGAAAAAGAATTAGAATGGGTATAAAAGAGACTATTAGAAGCACATGGGGACCGTGTGGATCCAAAGCTGGACTGTATTCCGGTTATTTTACCATCTAGAGAATACCCCTCAGTAATATTAATGCAGAGGGAAGACATCATAATAGAATTGGTATTTCTGCCACACAAACAGAATAAAAAATTGAAAACATGCATAGATAAGATCTCGATTTGATATTAAAAGGTAAGTTAAGGCTTTAAAAACTGACTGGAAGGGACACAACAGAAATTATTGTACTTTAACTAATGAGGAAATTAGCACTTAATTTCCAAGTACTCCATAACCTCTGTATATAGTTTCCATTCTGTAAAATGTAGACCTTCAGAGGTCTAAAAGCCCATCTTTAAATTATTTAGTGAAAAAAGGCCATGTTAAATCTCCTTCAAAAGAAAGTCCTGTGCAATAAATATTGTGTCTGAGTTGCATATGTGTATTCATGTGTATAACACTCATATATGTACTCACAAGTGATGCTGGAGGTCAGAGGTAAACATCAGGAATCTGCCTCACTCTTAAGCCACTAAATTTTGAAATATGAATTCTCACAGAATCTGGGAATCAGAGATTTTGAGTGTACTAGCTGGATAAGTAAACTGCATTTTCAAATTTTTTAATTTACAAAGAGAGATAAGGAAATGACAAAATCAAAAGCCTGTACAAGAAAATTTCAGGAGACAGGGGTATATATTACAAAAAGAGCAAGACCCAAGTACATGTGAAACTCTAGCTTCCATCATCAGCAATGGGGTGGCATAGTGGTTGTATAAATTCCCTGCACTTATGAAGCTACGTGCTGTGAGATCTTGGAGTAGTTACCTACCTCTCTGTGTCCAGGACTCCTCTCTCTGAAAACACTCTTATATATCTCCTAGCACTGTTGTAATAGTTAAATGGATTAAACCAAGTACAGTTATTTAAATGCACACAGGTATTTTGTGTCACAAAGGTTAGCACTTATTTTCATTCTTAGACTAATGCCAAATAAAAATCCCCCATGTACTGATCATGAATGACAACACATTCTAATACAAATGCATACATTTTGTGGAGAATATGCAACATGGTGATGTTCCCCAAATGTTCTTGACAATGCTACACTATGTCCACTCAAAAGATGAAAACAAGGGTAACCTGCAAAGCCTTCTAGACCTGTGTTTAATGTGAGCCTCCTTTTCTGCAGGCCTAATGATAATTCCAGGGACAACACTGCCTGTTTCTTGAGAGTAATATGTTCACTCATGATTGCTTTAGAGAGTCAGAAATTCCCACACTATAGGAATATATGTCAATACTGGACTGAAACATCAAGCGAAATCGAGGGCTTATCAGGCAGATAAAACTCAGCATCCCAGAAAATCAGGACTGTCAGGAGTCTTCAGGACCCCTGACTTTAATCCTGTTCCTACACCAGGAAAGCGTCATGGTGAAACACACAACCAGACAAGCTCCGAGTGTCAATTCCCTCACAACTATCGGTTTTGTGTCTTTGCAGCTTCATCTGTTGAGGCCCCAGTTTCCACATCTGTGCATTGGAACAGTAGAGATCTGTGCTCATCAGCTTCTAGGATAAAGACATGAGAATATACACATGTTTAGCTGAGAACCTGGAACATGCTAAGTGCTCAAGTGTCATGAGATCCACAGAGACTATGTGGACCGTTCATTTCTATTGCTGTGTCAGGAGGATGACCTCTCCATCCATAATCATGCATTTATCTATGGTGCCTTTCAGCTGGCTCAATGTACCTCATGCCCCTGAACACAGTAACATTATATCCACCTCCAATGGAAGGAAGTAGGAAGGTTAGATGTACCATGGACTCTGGTTGTCTTCAAGTAATCTCTACCCTTTGGAAAATTTCTGCAGTGAGATCTTGACACCTAATCCTGACATTTATTATCACTGATCCAAGTTGACCCACAAAATCTCCATCTTTACCTTTATGCTAAGAACAGAAGGTTTAGCTCAAGTACAAGGCGGGGCCATGGGAGGCCTACCCACTGCCAGGACAGGAAATATGGCCTGCAAGCCAAGACGTGTGTCTGGGAGACTCAGTCAGGAATAGAGGGATGGCCTCTGTTTCTGGTCTTATTAATCATGTCCTGAGGCCACCCTTCCTCCCGTTACCAAAGACCAGATCTCAAATCGGAGCCAGACCCATGAGTTTCTAAAGTATATAAAAGTCCTTGGTCCTGCTGGACTCTGCCTGCCATGCAGACCCAGGAGAGTCATATTGTTCCCCTGGATCTGAATCACAATGGCCATGTAGACTCACATGGTATGGCTCTGCCCTCACCCTCCTTTAAACACATTGTCTTCAGTTTTGTGCCTCAGACAAGCACTTTCTTAACACAGGACACTGGCATGGACATTGTGGTTACATAAAACATCTTTCTCCTTACTCAAACTCACTCAATCTTTTCACCTTTCAGGACCTTTCCTAGTTTCCTTCCCTTTTTCTAATAATAATATTCTCCAGTGATTCAGAGAACTAATCTCAGTTGACACAGTGTGCATACATATTTTGTGACAGGGCCTCATTGTACAGTTCGGTTAGCTTCAATGTCAGATGTCACCTGATTCTGTCTCCTGAGTGGTGGGGTCATAGGTGGGTGACACCAGAGCAGATGTCACACCATACTTTTTTTTTTAGATTTTTTAAATTTTATTTTTCCGTTTAGATTTAGATAAGAAACGAGGTTGCTTCACAAGTCAGTTCCAGGTCCCTCTCCCACTCCCTCCCCTCCTCCCATGCCCTCCCCCCAACCAACCCCCCTCCTTTATCCCCTCATTCACCCAGGGAGGGTGAGGCCCTCCATGGGGGTGTCCATAGTCTGTCATTTCATCCAGGGCAGGGCCTAGACCCTTCTCCAAGAGTTCAGGGTGAGAGTGTACCTCACATTGTTCTATGGGAGTCCAAAGTCCGTGTGTATACTTGGGATGGGTACTGATCTGCTGCCCAAGGCTCAATAGATTACCTAGGCCTCCTCACTGACACCCAGATTCCATGGGTCTTGATCAGTCCCATGTTGGATTCCCAGGCTGATGCCTGGGATTCAAGAGTTAACCTTTGTCTGGTCAGCTGTTTCTGGGGGTTAAACCAGCCCAGTCTTAATCCCTTTGATCATCAGTCCTCCCTCTCTGTTACTGGCTTTCTTGAGTTCAGCTCAGTACTTAACCAAGGGAGTCTGCCTCTTCTTCGGTCAGCCACTAAATGAAGTTTCTGTTTCCCAGACTCTCTGGCCATAGGATTGTAGGCTGGCACTCCCCAGATCTATGTCTAAAATCCATATATGAGAGAGTACATGCCATGGACCATACTTTTGATTGTACCTGTTCTTGGCTTATTTTGTGTTGGGAGAATGGGGATTTGTGTGTGAGCACACATGCACATGTGTCAGTGTCTGGAGATCAACAAGTAGGGTAAGCCAACTGAGGACTCTCCCATCTCTGGCTTCACTGCTTTGGGTTACAAGTGTTTGCTCTCACCTGGCTTTTCCCTCTTTCCTTCTTAATATGGTACTAGATATGAAACTTTGGTTCTCTTGCCTACAAGGAAAATAATATGTGGACTGAGATATCACCCTGTTCTCCTTTACTAATTCTACTATGTGATATAGGCAGGCGCTGTGTTAGGTTCTGCAGAATGGCTTGGTGAAAGCACATATGTTCTCTCTCCTAGACACATATCCTGAGGATAAAGCAGGCATGGGAGTATTTGGTCCATAAGTCAATTCAAGAAAAATGAGGGTGCCTACACAGACCATTCCACTTAGCAGGGCACAAGGAGAGCAAACCATCCCTTCAGTGAGCACTCTTGATTGAAACCTAATAAGAGATGAAGGGGAAAGGACACAACTTCAATGATGCTTGTGAAGGAGGTTATTGCCCAGTGTCCCAAGGCTCAGCCTGGTTTTGTTTAACTAGAGCCTGACTGAATAGCACTGTGTCAGGACTGTGATGAGCACCAGACACTGAGTAAGAAACTACTTAGACATGAGATGCTCAGATGCTCAAGATGGCCCATACTGACATGGACCACTGGGCAACAAAAATGAAACCAAAGAACAGAGTTGTGGATCATCTGACCTCCAGAGGACTCTTAACCATGCTGAAGTATTAAACAAGCTTGTAAATCCCTCCTTTTGCAGACCAAGCACCATGATAAACCGCATCATAGACTTGGTATCTAGCTCCATGACAGAGTGTCCCTCCTGATGGAAAACCAAGTGAGTCCCCAAGCAACTCTAGGCACCCAGAGCCTGGTGGGGACAGGAGAGGTATCTGTAGGTGTAGCTCTGTACTCAGCACTGTCTCCTATGAGGTGCAGATTTCATCTTTGGGAGGTCTGTGGACATCTCATGTTCCTCAGTAGCTGGGCTGCACAGAGAGGAGGCGGGAATCACAGTTGCGACTTTGACATGTTTACCACATCCATGTCCCATTTGTGGCCTTTAAACTACTGTCTCCTTGTAATCAACACACTTTCACGTGAATGACTGTAGTTAAGCACCTGTGAATGAGAATCTGCAGGGAACTAGGAATTGGACCCTCCAAAGGCTTAAGCTTCCTGGGGTCTTAGATTTCCAGGATTCAAGAGTTCAAAGTTCTGGAGTCTGGGCTGTTAAAGTAATGGATGCTAGATCTTCATATCCTAAAACTTCTAACAGCCTGAGTTGGTGGGCTCTCAGCAGCCTGGGACGGCTGCAATTTAGTCCACCACAATTCCGTAGTTCCAGCCTGCTAAGGTTAACTATTATCATCTTAGAAATGAGCTCATCTGGTGAGGAAAGGTAGGCAGTGTGTTGCCAGAAAAGTCTCATCTGTTTTCCTTTTCCCTTTACCTCCTCCTTCTCCCATCTTCTCTCTGTCACTCAGATAAGGCCGCTTCTCATAACTGTTCATTGGATTTGCCTCTGTAAGACATGGTCTGGGGAATGGAGTGCCTTCCATGGGCCAAGATATCAACAGTTGGAATATTCCAGATAGGGACCTTGCTTGACGATCAAGGCAGGCTTTTAGTTTCTCCTCCCCTACTGGAGGCATCATTTGAGGCTTTAGATCCTCATGATTGACAGGGCAGCTGAGGCAACATAAATAGGCCACTGAAGGTATCAGGCCCTGGAGGTGGCCCTTCTATGGATATGTCACTTTACACAGTCCTTCTGTGTCTTGTAAGCAATAGCTCATTGGATCCTCAAGAGTCTGTACAGGTAGCCACCGTCATTGCTCACCTTCAGGTGAACTGTGGCACAGTTGAGGTCACATAATTGTCACAGAAATAGGGAAGAGGGAGGTCACAAGTTGAATGGGTCTCTGTTCAACTCCCCATCATAAATACTGAGGCTGATCGTGACATGGTGCCTTCAGCTAAGCTGCTGTCAAAAAAGTACCAGACTCTACCTGAAGAGGAAGGAGCAGAAGGAAGAATGCCATGATGTCCCCTGCTAGTGTGGTTAGTGTCCTAGTAACTTTTCTATTGCTTGTGACATGACTAAGGGAAATTATAGAAGAATGAATATAATATGGGTCTCACAATTCCAGAGAATTAGACCATCATGGTGATGAGCATGGCAGCAGACAGGCAGCCATGGCACTAGAGCAGAAGCTGAGAGTTTATCTCAGGAGGTACAATTAACAGACAGGGGGATTGGGAAGAACATGGCTTTAGAAACCTCATACTCCATCCCTAGTGACACACCTCCCCTAAGAAAGCCACACCTTCTAATCCTTTACAGTTTATCTAACTGGGAACCAAATATTCAAATGCATGTGCCTACGATGGCAGTTTCATCAAAGCTCACAGGTAGACTTTGAGCACTGTCAAAGCATTCTGTCAGGTTGACAGAGCGCAGGCACTTGACCAATGGGCTGAAGTCCCATCCTGGCATGGGCATGGCCTCTACTTCGTCTTTTCCCAACTTCCATACTCCTGGAGAAGGGATGTGGAGGGGTTTGTCCAGGTGCTAGACCACAAATCCAGAGCTGTCTCAATTTCTCCATATTGGGCATTGTGCAATGAGTGGAGACAGTAGGGCCAGGCAGTTTGGGTGAAATCACTGTTCTGTGAAAGCCACCTACAACTGTTGCTGTGACAACCAATGTTCTGAAGCCCTATGTTCTCATTCCAGGTTGGTGCCCAATAGCTTCATCTTACTCCCTTGTAACATCTTATTCTCATAATTGCTTCTATGAGCCACACAAACTGTGCCTGAGCCCAGACTCCTTTCATCACTAGGTGGTCTCCACACCTGTTATCACTAACCCAGCAAGAAAATCCCAACTGCACCCTGGTGTGTGCTTCATTCAGTCTATGCATTGGGAGTTGCTGGCAGGGTGTGGGGTGAGATGGCTACTGAGTGACAGAGACAGATCCAGAGCTGGAAGGACCATTGGGGCAAACCTTACAGCTTCTTTTATGCATTGAGTTGCTGAAGTATGGAAAGAGTGTACAAAATGTGCTTTGAGCACCTACTGTGTACCAGGCAGGCAGGGAAATGAAGTCATGCTGGGAACAACCTCACTCAGGGCTTTGCCATGCCTCCTTAATGGGCCCAAGGGCTGGTGCAGAATGAGGACCTCCCTGTTTGAACAGATGAAGAAGCACAGACAGACACGTTAAGGTGACTGTGCCCTTTCCTTCATGTCTCTTCCTCAGGGGCAGTTTGAGTCCTCATCCTCTCCACCCTAAATGAGTCCTCCCATTGCTACTCAGCACCTGGACATCACCTGTCAGACTCTAGGAAACTCACTTAGCCTCCCTGAGGAGACTAGAGATCCTGGTGAGATACCACCTAGTCCCCGATTCCATGCTTGTCTGGGAGGCTGCAACTCATGAGGTCTCCTTCATAGTTTGCCACATCCTAATGCCATTAAGGAAATAACTGATGTTCATAGAGGCAAAGTGATTCATTCAAGCCACATAGTGAGCAAGGGTCAGAGCCAGAATTTGAACCCACAGCTATGGGTCTCCTAGACATAACTATCTTTGTATGGTGATTTGAATGATAAATGTCCCCCCACAGTCAGTAGGATTTAAATATTTAGTCCTCTGTTGCTGCGATTGAGGGAGGCTTAGGAGATGTGCCCTGCTAGAGGAAATATGTCACTGGGGTCCCCTTTGCAATTCCAAAGCCTCAAGGCACTCCCTGTTGGCTCCATTTCCTGTCAGTGGATACAGATATGAGCTTTCAACTGCCTCAGTCAATATGCTGCCTGTTGCCGTGTTTCCTCACCATGATGCGATGAACATTTTATCTAGAATTTCCCTTGGTCATGGCAATAGATAATCAACTAACATACCTGGCTCACACCAGGTGACCTCACAGCTTCCATTGTCCTGCGTTCCTGTTCCTGTTGCCTTCCTCAAGGAAGGGGGGCCGCTTTCTTGGTGCTTCCTTGGTCTTCTTGCAAGTCTTCCAGGCTGGCTTCAGTTTCCACTTCTGGTTTCCACTACCCTCCCTGTGAAAACATTCTACCTGGGAAGATACAAAGCAGAAGTCAAGATGAATTAGGAGATGGCCCCACAGTCTCTGCAATCTCATCTTCCCAGGAGCCTTGCTGTAATTTCCCAACAGCCATCTCATTGCTCTGCATTGTTCCAGAAAGTGGGGTTTGACTCTTGCCCCGATAGCTCTATGCTCTCTTTTCTTAACTTTCTTTGGTCAGAGTGTTTTATCAAAACAAAAGAAAAAGAAATCAGATATGTGTCTATAACAGGTAATGAGACTGAAATAATAATATAGTCTCCCAACAAAGAGACCTGGACCAGACGAACTCACTGCCAAATCTTACCAAACAAGAATTAACACCAAAGCTCTATAAACTGTCCATAAAATAGAAAGGGAAGGAATGTTACTAAAGTCATTATATAAAGCCAACATTGCCCTAATACCAAAACTGGATAAAGACACAACAAAAATAGAGAATCATAACCCAATTTCGCTGGTGAACAAAAATGGAAAACTTCCCAATAAAATTCTTACTAACTAAAAGGAAGGGCACATTTTCAGAAGATAATACCCTATGGTCAAATCAGATGCATTCTAAAGGCACCAGATTATCTCAACAAACACAAACCAGTAAGTGTAAATGTCCTGGCTAGTATTATGTCAATTTGACACAAGTTAGAGCCATCTGAAATGAGGGAACCACAAGTGAGAAAAATCTTACATGAGATCCAGCTGTAAGGTATTTTCTTAATTAGTGATTGACAGCCCATGGTGGATAGTGCTATCTCGTGATGATGGTCCTGGACTCTACAAGAAAGCAAACTGAACAAGCCATCAGAAGTAAGCCAGTAAGCTGCACCCCTCCATCAGCCACTGCCTGCAGGTTCCTGACCTGTTCGATTTCCTGTCCTAACTTCTTTCATTGATAAACAACACTGTGGAAGCATAAAGCTGAATAAGCCCTTTCCTCCCCCAAGTTGCTTTGATCATGGTATTTCATCACAGCAACAGTAACCCTGGCAAAGACACAGACAAGTTTAAAGACAGAGACCACAGGACCATGTGAACAGAGGAAGGGAAGGACTCTGACAATGCTCATATCAAAACTCTGAAGACACTAGGAACAGAAGAAGGGTACCTCAACATGACTGCTTATTGGAAACTTGTACCCAGAATTACACTAAATGAAGAAAAAGTGAATCATTTCTGTTAAAATCAGGAATAAGGCAAGGGTAGCCCCTCATACTAGATATACTGCTGGATGTCTTAGCTAAGCAATGAGAGTGGAGAAAGAAATTCAAGGAATACAATTAGGAAAAAGAAGATGGGCTAGGAGACAATTCAGAGTAAGGAACTGACCTTGAGCTCCAGGACCCACATACAAATGCTTGGCTGGGGTTTCATTTAATTCTAGTGCTGGGGAGGCAGAGACAGGATAATCTGCCATTTGTTGGCCAACCAGTCTAGCCTAATTGGTGAGTTCCAGGCCAATAAGAGGCCCTGCCTCAAAAGAGGTTATAGCATTCCTGAGGGTAACACCCTGGCATTGTCCTCCAGCCTCTAGCCACATGAACACATATGTGCATACACATATACCCAACATACAGGTAACCCTCATACATAAACATGCACATGCTTTAAAATATAGAAAAGGAAGAAGTTAAGACATCTGAATTTGCAGATGAAATGATTGTATAATTAAAAGACCCTGAAGAGGAATACTCAGACCTGACCACCACTGTCAGCAACAGAGCAGAATGCAGAGTCAACATAATAAAGCCAGTAGCTTTTGTTATGTGCACATCAATATAGAAATTCTGTATGTGCCAATAAAGAACTTTCTTGGAAAGAAACCAGAGAAAACCATCCCCTTTGCACTAGCTTCAAATAAAATTTTCAGAAATAAACCAAGGCAGGGAAGTGAAAGATTTCTACACCAGATGTAACACACTGAAGAAGATACTAGAAGACAAAAAGGCACTCCATGCCTGATTTCTCTGAGATTCTCTGTATATCCTCAGGGTTTGTTATTATGTTCACCTTTTCATTCCTAACTTTATTGATTTGCATGTTTTCTCTCTGCCTTTTAGTTAGTTAGGACAGAGGCTTGTCTACTTGTTGATTTTCTTGAAGAACCAACTCTTTGTTACATTGATTCTTTGTATTGTTTTCTTTGTTTCGACTTTATTGATTCCAGCCTTTAATTTGATTATTTCCTGGCATCTACTCCTCCTGGGTGAGTTTGCTTCCTTTTGTTCTAGATCTTTCAGTTGTGCTGTTAATTCTCTAGTGAGACTATTCTCCAGTTTCTTCATATGTGCTATTAGTACTATGAACTTTCTTCTTAGTAATGCCTTCAAAGTGTCCCATAAGTTTGGGTAAGTTGTGGCTTCATTTTCATTGAAGTTTAGGAAGTCTTTAACTACGTTATTTCTTCCTTGACCCAGGAATGGTGCAATGGCACGTTGCTCAATTTCCATGAGTTTGTAGGGTTTTTGCAATTTGTTTTGTTGTTGATTCTAACTTTAAAGCATTGTGGTCAAAAAGATACAGGGGATTATTCCAATTTTTGTACCTGTTGAAGTTTGCTATTTTGCCAAGTACGTGGTCGATTTTAGAGAAGGTCCCATGTGCTCCTGAGAATAAGGCATATCCTCTTGTGTTTGGGTATAATGTTCTATAGATGTCTATTAAACCCAATTGGGTCATAACTTCTGTTAGTTCCTTTGTTTCTCTGTTGAGTTTCTGTCTGGTGGTCCTGTCTAGTGTTGAGAGTGGGGTGCTGAAGTCTCCCACTATAACTATGTGAGGTCTTATATGTAATTTGAGTTTTAGTAGTGTTTCTGTTTTATTCTTTATTATTATTATTATTTATTTTAAGTTTAAATTTAGATTAGAAACAAGGTTGCTTCACAAGTCAGTTCCAGGTCCCTCTCCCTTTCCTTCCCCTCCTCCCGTACCCTCCGCCCAACCCCCCATTATCCCCTCATTTCCCCAGGGAGGGTGAGGCCCTCCATGGGGGTGTCCATAGTCTGTCATTTCATCCAGGGCAGGGCCTAGACCCTCCCCCAAGAATTCAGGGTGAGAGTGCATCTCACATTGTTGGATGGGAGTCCAAAATCCATGTGTATACTGGGGATGAGTACTGATCTACTTCTCAAGGCTCAATAGATTACCTAGGCCTCCTCACTGACACCCACATTCAGAGGGTCTTGATCAGTCCCATGCTGGATATCCAGGCTGATTACTGTGTCCTTTCCCTGACAGAAGCTTCTCAGTTTCAGGAGGTCCCATTTATTAATTGTTGATCTCACTGTCTGTGCTAGTGGTATTATGTTCAGTAAGCTGTCTCCTGTACCAATTCGTTCAAGGGTACCACCCACTTTCTCTTCTAAGAGGCTCAGTGTGGCTGGATTTATGTTGAGGTCTTTGATCCATTTGGACTTAAGTTTTGTGCATGACGATAAACATGGATCGATCCGCATTCTTCTACATGCCAGCCTCCAGTTATGCCAGCACCATTTGTTGAAGATGCTTTCTTTATTCCATTGTATATTTTTTAGCTTCTTTGTCAAAGATCAGATGTTCATACGTGTGTGGGTTAATATCCGGGTTTTCAATTCGATTTCATGGGTCTACCTGCCTATTTTTGTGCCAATACCAAGCTGTTTTCAGGACTATAGCTCTATAATAGAGCTTGAAGTCAGGGATGGTGATGCCTCCAGACGTTGCTTTGTTGAACAGGGTTGTTTGGGTTATCCTGGGTCTTTTGTTTTTCCATACAAAGTTGATTATTGTTCTTTCAAGGTCTGTGAAGAATTGTGCTGGGATTTTAATTGGGATTGCAATGAATCTGTAGATTGCTTTTGACAGGATTGCCATTTTTACTACATTGATCCTTCCTATCCAAGAGCATGGGAGATCTTTCCATTTTCTGAAGGCATCTTTAATTTCTTTCTTTAAAGATTCAAAGTTCTTGAGATACAGGTCTTTCACTTGTTTGATTAGCGTTACCCCAAGGTATTTTATGTTGTTTGTGGCAATTGTAAAGGGTGATGTTTCTCTGATTTCTTTCTCAGCCCTTTTATCATCTGTATATAGTAGGGCTACTGACTTTCTTGAGTTGATCTTGTAGCCTGCCACTTTGCTGAAGGTGTGAATCAGCTGTAAGAGTTCCCTGGTAGAGTTCTTTGGGTCATTTATGTAAACTATCACATCATCTGCAAATAGTGAAATCTTGACCTCTTCCTTCCCAATTTGTATCTTCTTGATCTCCCTTTGTTGTTGTATGGCAATGGCTAGAACTTCAAGTACCATGTTGAAAAGGTATGGAGACAGTGGACAGCCTTGTTCTGTTCCTGATTTTAGAGGAATTGCGTTGAGTTTCTGTCCATTTAGTTTGATGTTGGCTGTTGGTTTACTGTATATAGCTTTTATTATGTTTAAGTATGTCCCTGTTATCCCAGATCTCTCCATGACTTTTATCATGAAGGGGTGTTGGATTTTGTCAAAGTCTTTTTCAGCATCTAGTGAGATGATCATGTGATTTTTGTTTCTCAGCTTGTTTATATGGTGTATTACGTTGATGGATTTTCGTATGTTGAACCATCCCTGCATCCCTGGGATGAAACCTACTTGATCGTGGTGAATGATTGTTTGGATGTGTTCTTGGATCCGATTTGCCAGTATTTTATTGAGTATTTTTGCATCAATGTTCATGACGGATATTGGTCTGAAGTTCTCTTTCTTAGTTGTGTCTTTGTGTGGCTTTGGGATCAAGGTTATTGAAGCCTCATAGAAAGAGTTTGGCAAGACTCTTCTACTTCTTTGAGAAGAATTGGTATAAGCTATTCTTTGAATTCCTGGTAGAATGCTTCACTGAGGCCATCTGGACCTGGGCTTCTTTGGGTTGGGATACTTTTGATGACTTCCTCCATTTCCATAGGTGTTATAGGTCTATTTAAATAGCTTATCTGTTTTTGATTTAATTTTGGCAAGTGATAGCTATCCAGAAAGTCGTCCTTTTCCTTTAAATTTTCAAATTTTGTGGAGTACAGGTTTTCAAATTATGACCTGATGATTCTCTGGATTTCCTCAGAGTCCGTTGTTATGTCCCTCTTTTCATTTCTGATTTTGTTAATTTGCATGTTCACTCTCTCCTGTTTGGTAAGTTTGGACAAAGGTTTGTCCATCTTGTTGATTTTCTCAAAGAACCAACTCTTCGTTGCATTGATTCTTTGAATTGTTTTCCTTGTTTCTACTTTATTGATTTCAGCACTCAATTTGATTATTACCTGGCATCTACTCCTCCTGGGGGAGTTTGCTTCTTTGTGTTCGAGAGCTTTCATCTGTGCTGTTAATTCTCTAGTATAACTATTCTCCAGTTTCTTCATGTGGGCAGTTAGTGCAATGAACTTCCCCCATAGCACTGCTTTCAAAGTGTTCCATAGGTTTGGGTATGTTGTGTCTTCATTCTCTTTGAATTCTAGGAAGTCTTTAATTTCTTTTTTTATTTCGTCTTTGACCCAGGAATGGTGCAATTGTGCATTATTCAATTTCCATGAGTTTGTAGGCTTTCTGCAATTTGTGTTGTTGTTAAATTTTAATTTTAAAGCATGGTGGTCTGGTAAGATGTATGGAGTTATTCCAGTTTTTTGGAGCTGTTAAGGTTTGATATGTTGCCAAGTATGTAGTCGATTTTGAGAAGGTTCCATTTGGTGGTGAGAAGAAGTTATATTCTTTTTTATGTGGATGAAATGTTCTATAGATGTCTGTTAATCCCAGTTGGGTCATTACTTCTATTAGACCCTTTACTTCTTTGTTGAGGTTCTGTCTGGTATTCCTGTCTAGTGGTGAGAGTGGTGTGTTGAAATCTCCCACTATAACTGTGTGGGGCTTTATATGTGATTTAAGTTTTAGCAATGTTTCTTTTACCAATATGGATGCCTTTTTATTTGGGGCATAGATGTTCAGGATAGACACTTCATCTTGCTGGATTTCACCGGTGAGGAGTATGTAATGACCTCCTTCATCTCTTTTGATTGATTTTATTTTAAAGTCTAGTTTGTTAGATATTAGGATTGCTACCCCTGCTTGTTTCTTGGGTCCATTTGATTGAAAAATTTTCCCAACCTTTAACTCTCAGGTAATGTCTGTCTTTGAGGGTAAGATGTCTTTCTTGTATGCAGCAGAAGGAAGGTTTCTGTCTTTTTATGGGCGAGTTAAGGCCATTAATGTTGAGGGATATTAATGACCATTAATTGCTCATTCTTCTTCGATTTGCAATGCTTGTTGGTGGTGGAATTATGTGTGGAATTTCACCTCTTTGTTCTTTTTGCTGTTGGAAGAGAGGGATTCTCTAATGCCTATGTTTTTCTGGTTGTAGTTAACTTCCTTGTGTTGGAGTTTTCCTTCCAAAACTTTCTGTAGGGCTGGGTTAGTGGATACATATTGCTTGAATCTAGTTTTGTCATGGAATATCTTGTTTTCTCCATCTATAGTGATTGAGAGCTTTGCCGGGTATAGTAGTCTGGGCTGGCATCCATGGTCTCTTAGTGTTGGTAGAATATCTATCCAGGACCTTCTGGCTTTCAGATTTTCCATGGAGAAGTCAGGTGTAATTCTGATAGGTCTGCCTTCATATGTTACTTGGCCGTTTTCCTTAGCTGCTCTTAATATTCTTTCTTTATTCTGTATATTTGGGGTCTTGATTATTATGTGGCGAGGGGACTTTTTTTGTCGTCCACTCTATTTGCTGTTCTCTAAGCTTCTTGTACCTTCATTTCTTAAGGTTGGGAAAGTTTTCTTCTATGATTTTGTTTAATATGTTTTCTGCCCCTTTGAGGTGGTTTTCTTCTCCTTCTTCTATACCTATTAGTCTTAGGTTTGGTCTTTTCATGGTGTCCCATATTCCTGGATGTTTTTGTTAAGGATTTGTTGTACTTAAGGTTTTCTTTGGTTGATCAATCCATTTGTCCTAGTGTATCTTCAACACCTGAGATTCTCTCTTCCATCTCTTCTATTCTTTTGGTAATGCTTGTATCAGTAGTACCTGACCATTTGCCCAGCTTTTCTATTTCCTGCCTTTTTTCAGATTGTTTTTTTTATTGTCTCTATTTCAGTTTTCAACTCTTGCAGTGTTTGCATTGTTTCTTGCAATTTTCGGTTTATCTTTTCGTCCATTTGTTGCCTTTTACGAATTTTTTGGTTTGTTCTTTCCTCCATTTCTTGCATTTTTTGGTTTGCTTTTTCTTCCATTTCTTGCATTTTTTGCTTTGTTTTTTCTTCCATTTCTTGCATTTTTTGGTTTGTTTCTTTCTTCCATTTCTTGACAGTTTTTGCTTTGTTTTTTCTTCCATTTCTTGCATTTTTTGCTTTGTTTCTTCTTCCATTCCTGCCTTTTTGGTTTGTTTCTTATTCCATGTCTTTCATTTTTTGCTTTGTTTTTTCTTCCATTTCTTGCATTTTTTGCTTCGTTTCTTCTTCCACTTCCTGCCTTTTTGGTTTGTTTTTTCTTCCATTTCTTTGAGGGATTTTCCTATATCCTCTTTTAGGGCCTCTATTATTTTCATGAAAGTGGTTTTAAGGTCATTCTCTTTTGCTTTGTTTGCACTGGAATGTTGGAATCTTGCTGGTTGGAGTCTCTAGAATCTGGTGGTATCATATTTCTTTTTCTGTTGCTGAGTGTGTTTTTGTATTGTCTCCTTCCCATCTCTTTTTCTAGTGGGTGCAGAAAGAGCCCCTTACTGCTCTGGTGGTTAGGGGACCAGAGTTCCCTTTTGGTGGGTGCTAGCAAGCCAAGTAATCTGGTAGTTCTTCTATTCCTTGTCCTCGTTCTTGTCCCGTTGGAGGAGAAGAAGAACAGGAATCTGGAGCGCTTAGCCTCCCACCTGGTCCCCTGGACCTTTTGCTGGATCCTGTTGTACCTGATCTGGGGGAACAGCTGCTCCCCTGGTCTCCATGGCTCCTCTGGTTTCCTGGTCTCATTGGTGGGAGAGAAGTCCTGGAGTCTGGGGTGTTTGGCTCCTGCTGGATTGGAAGCTCTGTGCAGTTCCCAGGCGAAACCCAGGCACCGGAACACAGGCCCAGAAGCAGGGCCTGTTGTACCTGATCCCACCGATGGAACAGCTGCCTAGTAATGTTTCTTTTACAAATGTGGGCACGCTTGTATTTGGGGCATAGATGTTTAGAATTGAGACTTCATCTTGATGGATTTTTCATGTGATGAATACCAAATAACCTTCTTCATCTTTTTTGATCGATTTTAGTTTTAAGCATAAATTGTTTGATACTAGAATAGCTAAACCAGCCTGTTTCTTGGATCCATTTTAGTGGAAAATCTTATCCCAACCCTTTACTCTGAGGAAATAAAAATGCCTTTAACATTTCAGGAAAAGATAAACAATCAATTGGAAGAAATCAACAAACTCCTTAAGGAAAACTGAGAAAAAGCAATCAAACATGGGAAGGAAATGACTCAAGGCATAAAACCAGAAATAGACGCAATAAAGAATACATAAACTGAAGGAATTCAGAAAATGGAAATCTGGGTAAACGAGCAGGAACTACAGATACAAGAACAGACAACAGAATACAAGTGTTGGAAAATCATTAAGAGTCTACAATCTGTCTCTCCTAATTTGCATCTTTTAGGATCTAATTTTTTGTACGCCTATTTTATAGCCTAAATAATTAATAGAATCTTCTATTTGCATTTTTCAGGAACAATTTATAATTCCCAAGAAGGCAAAATTTTCCTTTACTTCATGAGACATTCTTTTAAAATTAATCAGAAAAATTTTGAATCAGATAATGAAGTGTCATCCATGAGAAGGGAACACTCCTCCACTGCTGGTGGGAGTGCCGACTCATACAGCCTCTTTGGAAATCAGTATGGAGATTCCTCAGGAAAATGGGAATTAATCTACCACTAGACCCAGCAATTCCACTCTTAGGCATATATCCAAATGAGGCAAATTCATACAACAAGGGCATCTGCTCCACTATGTTCATAGCAGCATTATTTGTAATAGCCAGAACCTGGAAGCACCCTAGATGCCCCTCAAGTGAAGAGTGGATAGAGAAAATGTGGTACATTTACACAATGGAGTATTACTCAGCAGAAAAAAACAATGGAATCTTGAAATTCGCAGGTAAATGGATAGCACTGGAAGAAACCATCCTGAGTGAGGTAACCCAGTCGCAAAAAGACAAACATGGTATGTACTCACTCATATATGGATGTTAGACATGGATCAGGATAGTGCTAGTCTGCACTTCCACTGATAGAGAGTCTGGGAAACAGGAAAGAACCTAAAAGATATGCATATATGCATAGTACCCAAGAGAAGAGGATTGAGACAAGATCCTCTGAATGGATGGGGAACACAACGAGGTGTGGGGGGAGTGGGAGCTGGGAAGAAGACAGGGGGTGAGGAGGAAGAGAGTTGGTCATGGTGGAACAGGAAGTTGAGTGGGTGGGGGTAGAATAGGGGGAAGAGGGAATCATAGGATAGAAGACAGATCAGGCACCAGAGTGACCTCGAGTGATCTAAAGGTATAACACCAATTGGCAAGCTAAGCAATAGTGGAGAGACCACCTCGAATGCCCATTCCTGATAATGAACTTGATGTCTATAACCATCCGGGAGCCTTCATCCTGTGACTGATGGAAGCAGAGGCAAACACACAATTAATCACTGAACTGAACTCAAGGAACCCAGTGACAGAGAGAAATGAGTGATGAACAAATTGGCAAAGAATGGGCTGGCAAACCAGCAGAGACAGCTGATCTGAACAGAGGAGAGCTCTTGAACACCAGAGCGACAGTGGGGAAGCCAGCATGGGACTGATCTGGACCCCCCAAATGTGAGTGTCAGCGAGAAGGCCTGGGCAAACTATGGGGCCCTGAGCTGTGGATCAGTGTCTATCCCTGGAATTCAAACAGTCATCGTGTGCCTATAGCAGAAAGAAGGATGTTCTCTCAGCCTGGACACTTAGGGGAGTGCCTGGACCATACACAGAGTGAAATGGCAGACTCTAGATATCCCCTATGTGGAAGGATTTGGCAATAGGGTGGGAGGGTGGGGGGAAGGGGGTGTGGGAGGAGGGGAGAGAGAGGGAAGTGGGCTTGACATGTAAAACAATCTATTTAAAAATAAAATAAAAAATGATATAAAAAAGAAAGGGACAAGATCTCCTGAGTAAGTTGGGCACATGGTGTAGAGGCGAGGGTGGTGAAAGAAAGAAGAGGGAAGAAAGGGAAGGGGAGGAGAACATGAGAATCAGGAAGGTCCAGTTGGGGGAAGGACAGAGAAGGAGAGAAAGGAAAGAGACACCTTGATAGAGGGAGCCATTATGGGCTTAATGAGAAACCTGGCAATAAAGAAATTCCAAGGAATCTACACGGATGACCCCCAAGAAGAACCTAAGCAATAGTGGAGAGGCTAACTTAAATGCCCTTCCCCTATAATGAGATTGACGACTACCTTAAATTCCATCATAGAGCCTACACACTGTAGCTGATGGAAGAAGAAGCAGAGTTTCACAGCTAAGCACTAAGTGAAACTCCTGGAATCCAGTTGTAGAGGGTGAGGAGTGATGAGCAATTGGGTCTAGACTGACATCTGGGGAACCAGCATAGGACCAAACCAGGCCCCCTTAACATATGTGAATTTGGAGACTTGGGCAGTCCATGGTGCCTTTGACAGTGGAATTAATATTTACCCTAATGCACAATGGGCTTGGGGAGTCCATTCCCCATGGAGAGATACTCTCTCACTATAGATACACGAGTGAGTGTCTAGATACTGTCCCAAATGATGTGACAGACATTGATGCTCGTCTGTATGAGGCCATGACCTCCCTGAGGAATGGATGGGGGATGAAATGGGATGCTAGGGAGAATGGGAGGCAATGAAGGAGAGGAAAATGAGATGGCTATGTAAAATAAGATTGTTTTTTAATTTAAATAAAAATTAATTTTAACCCAGCCCAGACTACTATACCCGGCAAAGCTCTCAATCACTATAGACGGAGAAAACAAGATATTCCATGACAAAACTAGATTCAACCAATATGTGTCCACTAACCCAGCCCTACAGAAAATTTTGGAAGGAAAACTCCAACCCAAGGAAGCTAACTACAACCAGAAAAACATAAGCATTAGAGAATCCCTCTCTACCAACAGCCAAAAGAACAAAGGGGCGAAATTCTACCCATAATTCCACCAACAACGACCATCGCAAATCGAAGAAGGATGAGCAGTCAATGGTCATTAATATCCCTCAATATTAACGGCCTTAACTCACCCATAAAAAGACACAGGCTAGCAGTATGGATTCGAAGACAGAACCCTTCCTTCTGCTGCATACAAGAAACACACCTCACCCTCAAAGACAGACATTACTTGAGAGTTAAAGGTTGGGAAAAAATTTTTCAATCAAATGGACCCAAGAAACAAGCAGGGGTAGCAATCCTAATATCTAACAAACTAGACTTTAAAATAAAATCAATCAAAAGAGATGAAGGAGGTCATTACATACTCATCACAGGTGAAACCCACCAAGACGAAGTGTCTATCCTGAACATCTATGCCCCCAATACAAAGGCATCCACATTCGTTAAAGAAACATTATTAGAACTTAAATCTCATCTAAAGCCCCACACAGTTATAGTGGGAGGTTTCAACACACCACTCTCACCACTAGACAAGAATACCAGACAGGAACTCAACAAAGAAGCAAAGGGTCTAATAGAAGTAATGACCCAACTGGGATTAACAGATATCTATAGAACATTTCATCCACATAAAAAAGAATATACCTTCTTCTCACCACCACATGGAACCTTCTCAAAAATCGACCACATACTTGGCAACATATCAAACCTCAGCAGCTACAAAAAAATTGGAATAACTCCATGCATCTTATCAGACCACCATGCCTTAAAATTAGAATTCAACAACAACACAAATTGCAGAAAACCTACAAACTCATGGAAATTGAATAATGCTCAACTGCACCATCCCTGGGTCAAAGAGGAAATAAAAAAAGAAATTAAAGACTTCCTCGAATTCAATGAGAATGAAGACACAACATACCCAAACCTATGGGACACTTTGAAAGCAGTGCTACGGGGAAGTTCATAGCACTAAGTGCTCACATGAAGAAACAGGAAAACAGTTATACCAGAGAATTAACATCACAGCTAAAAGCTCTAGAACACAAAGAAGCAAACTCCCCCAGGAGGAGTAGACGCCAGGAAATAATCAAATTGAGGGCTGAAATCAACAAAGTAGAAACCAGTAAAACAATACAAAGAATCAATGCAATGAAGAGTTGGTTCTTTGAGAAAATCAACAAGATAGACAAACCTTTGTCCAAACTTACCAAACAGCAGAGAGTGAACACGCAAATTAACAAAATCAGAAATGAAAAGGGGGACATAACAACAGACTCTGAGGAAATCCAGAGAATCATTAGGTCATACTTTGAAAACCTGTACTCCACAAAATTCGAAAATTTAAAGGAAATGGATGACTTCCTGGACAGCTATAATTTGCCAAAACAAAATCAAGAACAGATAAGCAATTTAAATAGACCTATAAACCCTATGGAAATAGAAGCTGTCATCAAAAGTCTCCCAACCAAAAAAAGTCCAGGTCCAGATGGCCTCAGTGCAGAATTCTACCACAAATTCAAAGAACAGCTTATACCAATTCTTCTCAAAGTGTTCCACACAATAGAAGCAGAAGGGTCTTTGCCAAACTCTTTCTATGAGGCTTCAATGACCTTGATCCCCAAGCCACACAGAGATACAACCAAGAAAGAGATCTTCAGACCAATATCCCTCATGAACATTGATACAAAAATACTCAATAAAATACTGGCAAATCGGATCCAAGAACACATCAAAACAATCATTCACCACGATCAATTAGGTTTCATCCCAGGGATGCAGGGATGGTTCAACATACGAAAATCCATCAACGTAATCCACCATATAAACAAGCTGAAAAACAAAAATCACATGATCATCTCACTAGATGCTGAAAAAGCCTTTGACAAAATCCAACACCCCTTCATGATAAAGGTCTTGGAGAGATCTGGGATAACAGGGACATACTTAAACATAATAAAAGCCATATACAGTAAACCAACAGCCAACATCAAACTAAATGGACAGAAACTCAACGCAATTCCTCTAAAATCAGGAACAAAACAAGGCTGTCCACTCTCTCCATACCTTTTCAACATGGTACTTGAAGTTCTAGCTATAGCCATCCGACAACAAAGGGGGATCAAGGGGATACAAATTGGGAAGGAAGAAGTCAAACTTTCACTGTTTGCAGACGATATGATAGTTTATATCAGTGACCCAAAGAACTCTACCAGGGACCCCTTACAGCTGATTAACACCTTCAGCAAAGTGGCAGGTTACAAGATCAACTCAAGAAAGTCAGTAGCCCTACTATATACAGATGATAAAAGGGCTGAAAGAGAAATCAGAGAAACATCACCCTTTACAATTGCCACAAACAACATAAAATACCTTGGGGTAACGCTAACCAAACAAGTGAAAGACCTGTATCGTAAGAACTTTGAATCTTT